AGGGGGCGGGGCCCCGCTCGCCCAGCCGAGACCAGGCTGGAGGAGGAGAGGGGTGGTTCTGCGGGTGGCTGGGAGCTGCGCCCGCTGATGCTGTCCTGTGCTCAGAGGAAGCTGCAGGACGTGGTGGAAACATCCGCGTCTCTAATGAGAGGCATCTCCCAGAGGAAAGAGCTGCTGCAGAAAACTGAAAGACAAGCTGCTCTGCTGGAGGGAGGTAAGAGAGCGATTCGGGAGGCCCTGAGACTTCACTGGGGAGGGCTCTCTGAGGTATTATTTGCAGTGTGTTGGGTGCTGATGCCCATCTGAGGGCTGGCAGATAGCTGGATGCTTGCGTGCCTCTCTGCGTCTGCGCAAGTCCTGTGAGCACGGGCAGGTTTTCAGAATGGGCCACATTGTGGATTTTGGCCCTGGCTCTGCAGGCACCCTGCCACTGGCTTCTTGAAATTCTGTTTCCTTGCACTTTTCATCAGCAGTGTCCTCCCTGGGGAGAGATGGCACTGCCGTCGTACCAATCTGGGGACACATAGCCTGGCCGGGACACCACAGCTTTGGGAAGCGGGTTCAAGGGGAGGCAGGAGTGGAGCCACTGGTGGAAGCACCCCTGCTCCCCCACACCGGTGCCGGGAGGTTAATTTATCCTGCCATCAGCTGGCAGAGGGACATTTCCCTGAGATCTCCTTGCCCTCTGTCCCTGTTCCTCTGGCAGCAACGAAGCGAAGCTGAGCATGTGAATTGGCACCTGCGCAAGCAGCTCTCAGACTGTGCCGTTCCCCCTGTGACGAGTTACATGTGGAAGAAGATGGCTGTTCCCGACCTCGAAGGCTTGGGAGAGCAAGGTGGCAGCTGCCGAGGTGAGTGAGACCGGACTGTGCCCGCCTGCCTGGTGTGGGGGCTCTGGCACAGCTGTTCCACTGGTGCCTGGCAGTGTTGGAGCAGAGCTCTTGCTGTTCATGGAGCAGTAATCGTTCCCTACCCTGAAGACAGAGGCTGAATTTTAATAGCATCGAGGGGAAGCCAAGGCAAGGGCACAGCTTGTAATTTGCCAGGAAGCACCGTTGGGCTGTTGCTGCGCTGTCCTGCATGTGAGGAGGGGGGGGACGCGTGGCAGCCCGACACGTTTCTGCCTCTGCAGATGTAACCTGCAGCAGCCTTTCCCAGTGCCCCTGGCAGCTCCCAGGGTTTGTTGTCCTCTCTGATGACCTCAGATGCATCTTGACCCTTCCCTGATAAAGAAAGACTAGCCAAGACCCAAACCTGAGTTCATGGCAAAGCCATGAGAACATCCTTGACTCTCCTCCTGCCCCAACCGGCAGGAGGTGGAGAAAGAATATGGGGAAGCATAGTCAAAGCAGCACATGTTGGTATCCCTGCCCTGTGCGCACAGCAGCATGGTGGGAGGAGTAGCTGGGTTGGATGGGATGGATAGTGTGGTCCTGTACCTTGGTACCCTGCTTGTCCTCGAGCAGAGATGGGCTTAGCTGTGGCTGGGACGAGGAAGGCTCTGGGCTTGTGCCTGTCCAGCAGTTACCCCCCTGCACCCCTATCCGCAACGGACAGGGCCTGTGTGTCCCAGCCTTTCTCAGAGATCAGAGCTGTGCGGATCTGGGCTTGACCCTTGAGCGCCAGTGCTGCAAGTTCAGAAATGTGGGTCTGGCTGTGGGTCCCAGCAGGCCCTGTCTCACCCCGCTGCTCCTCTTGGCTGGCTCTGGCTTGTGTGTTGTCTGTGCAGCAGCGAGGGCTCTGGGGGCTGAAGAAGGAACCTGTAGCTGTTCCTAGGAGTAAAGTGAGGCTCTAAGCCTGTCTTCTTCGCTGGCCCCTCTGTGGCAGGGCGTGTCCAACAGCCCTGCTGCCACGGGAAGGGCTGTAGGTTCCTATGCAGTGCTCTTCTGTAGGGTCTCCAGGCTCGTCGGGGCGTTCAGGGGAGAAACCAAAGCTGGGGTAAACCTGCAGGAGCTCTTCTCAGTGTGCCACAGCGAGCGCTGATCTCAGAGTGGGGGGGATGTTG